ACTACATCCATACAATATTAAGAAAGATATATAATGAGAGATAAGAAATATGTAAATAAAATATCTATAAAATATTATGAAACCGTAAATATGTATATTTTTGGATAAAGCTCACCATAACGACGATCTTTGTCCGCAGGTATATTGCCATTTGGCTCCAAACGATCTAGGAACTCCTCCGAATAACCATTATACGGCAATTGACCTCTCGTTGTTGCATCATCAGCCTCTTCTTTTGATATAGCTGTAATAAAATAAATAATATTTAAATGTATGTATAATCATCATTAATTATGTCTAATTAATGATTTATTAATTAATGATTCATGATTTACTTGTATAAAACTATTTTACTCGATCTTTGTAATATATATATAGTATTTACAATATCAATAATAATTATATTACTAAAACATCATGCTGTTTAATTACAATAGGCAAAAGCAATTATTTGCTTGACATTAATTATATATTTATTAATTAAAAATATATTTATTGAAAAAAACATTAAAACAAAGTTCAACATTTAAATCCTTGTGATTATTATTATATTTTATTAATATAAAAGTTTTATATTAATATAAAAGTTAATATAAAAATTACCTATATAAAAAATACTTACAAAGTCGTCCAAAGCTGTGACTAAGGCGCTTTTTTAATTTTTGCACTCTACTGAGAGCACCGCCTTTCTTTTCCCGCATTGTCACAGGCCCTGCAACAAATGTAATGTTTAAACATACAATTTGATACACCGAATGTAAGTTGAGATAGCATGACATCATAACAGAAGGCCAAGAACATCAGAGTAATTTAGATATAACAGATCATTACATTTATGATGACATCATACGCTATGTTATGCCAATGCTTCTTAATGATGATAAAGGTATGCATCACATTCTTCTCAAATGACAATGCGAGGAACTCACAGGAAATTACAATATAATAAAAAACAATCATATATGAGACAAAATATGAATATGATTACATCATATAAATATTAATAATTATACCAATTTTTTTTTTGTAGATATTACACGCATTATACTACAGATAAAGAAAAAATAATGACACTCAATGAACGAAGTAATTGAACGAAGTATTTGAACACATTTTGTCCCGAATCCAAGTAATTTAATTTAATTTTCAGAACGTAGATGATTCATCCGTTCGTAGAAGATAATGGATTTTTACTGCAATTAAAAGTGAAAGTACGTATTCTTAAGTATGCACTTTCCAAGTATATGTATTAATTCACCTGAACCAGCCAACTATCATTTTTTCTTGGAGCAAGCCATATAACAAAGCAAACTCTCACGGGACACTTACTAACACGATAAAAACTTTGAGATTGCCGTATGTATATGACACATGACACGCCATTCAGTCACACGTACATACACGCACACGAATATCGACACACACGTTCTTTTCTGCGTACAGGTATGCACTGTAGTTACAGCACAGGAGGTTCAACGAACTAATATACATTAGTTTCACACGTCGAATAACCGAACAAATCTCTGGTCGAGATATTCAAGTGTCAGATAAAACGTAGGCTCTCTCCCTCTCTCTCTCTGTGCTACACAAAAGATTGCATTGTACTCGTCGTGCGACTCGAAAAGATACGGCGATCCCAATCCTGAAATTGATAAACGCGCGCGTTTCTTCCTGTGGTCAACGCAAGTATCAAACCGGAAAGGAAAATAATATTCAACTTCTTTCTCGCTTGAGTTGCATATATACTGAAGAACTCGATTGTCCCTCTTCTGCCATCAGGAGATACTGTACATGCACACATATAAGAGACGCGCGCGCAAGGAGAAAAAGAAAAAGAATTATTATTTTCATTTTCTCTCTCTCTCCCTCTCCTCTTCCTTTTTTATCTCTCTGCTTCTCTCGTCAGACTGCTGTTGCTACTTGGTCCTTCTCTCCCGTCTCCATGATCCTGGAACGGAACTCTCTTTACCTCTCTCTCATTCATCATCTCCTCTCTTGTTCTTTCACACACACACACACACACACACACACACACCCTCTCTATCTATCTTTCTCACCTCGTTCACACACGCACACGCAAAAAGAAACCGAACGGCGAGAGCCGGAACATCGGCCGCAAGAGAAAAATAGGGGAAGGATGCGCGACGGGCGCGTCTGTGTCCGACTTACCCTCTTTGCTCTTGGAAGCGGTCGAACCCTTGTCCTGACAGTACATGATTACTCATTCGCTCGCACGCGCGGGACACATCACATATGGGCGGTGACGCACTCGGCTGCGTGTGTGAGTACGCGCCGCCGCCGCTGCCGCCGCTGTTTTTCCCTCGGCCGATGCTCCTCAGCTCCTGTGCGGCGACGAGAGTCCCGGGCGTCGAGCTCCCTAACGCGCGACTCTCTCACGTCGTCCTCCTGTATTCCGGTGATTCCGGCGAAGCGCGCACGATCCCCGTCGCGTCGCCTCGCGCCATGAAAACGCCTCCGCGCTATCCCCGTGGACGATGACAACGACGACGGCGAGGACGGGGAGGACGGCGATGGGAGCCTTCCACACGATGTGAGCCACCGCGAGAAAATATCACAAAATTTGCCAGCGAGATCCTCGCTAGTCGGCCTCTTCCAAGAGATCACCTCTCTACCGCTCCACGAGAGGGGCAAGTTCACGTCGGTGTACACTACACACTCATATACAGAGACACATACACATATCTATCTCTTTCTTTTCGATATTTCTTCTCTTCTTCTCTTATACGGAATCACAAATGATTCGGTCAACCCTCCCGTTTGCACTTAACCCTCGCTGACGGTAGGTGCTCGCGCACACCACTATCTCCAACAAATCATCTGCGATCGAGGATTTGAGGCCGACCGGTAGGGATTGTCGGGAAGTCTATCTCGCTTGTCGCGGATACTGACTGCCCACACCACCGTCACCACCTCGCACCTCGCATCGCACGACACGAAAGTCGCGAGCCGAATTCGGCCGAGACGGCAGACGCGCGTCAGCGTGTATCACAACCTAGAATGACGACCGCCGTTGTATTCAGTGTTGTATGAAGTTGTTCAGAAACGGGTACGCGTGCGTATTCACCTACTTGTACTTATTGCAGACGAGAAAAATAACTAGACTGAACGAACCGCGAACGCTCGCATTGCGATTTGCGACTGTTGGACAAAAAGAAATCCAACGCCGTCTCTCTCTCTCTCTCTCTCTCTCTCTCTCTCTCTCTTATTTTTTTTAAAACTGTTTTCCTTTTTTTATATCATTTAACAATCATTGACTTGTTATCAAACTGTCATTTAAATCGTGAATATTTTAAGGCGTATATTATGCACAGCTTACAAATGGTTTCAAATTTTTGTTTGTCACACTTTCCCATTTAGTCAAGTCTGCTTGAACAAATTTTATTATTTTATATTGATCCGTTATATCAAATGCTAATAATGAAATACCGCGAAAAATATAATAGGATTTATATTTATATGACTTGAAGGTAGAAAAACACAGTATATAATTGTTTTGTTATTCATAAAAAAGATCGATAGAATAACGTTTGTGATGTCTTGTGTCATTATTGCTATTTAACGAAAAATACTGTTTTTATTAATACTGAAATCTGCAAATTGTTACGTTTTATATTATTATATTATTCTTATAGATTTTCAATATTGGTAATTTAATATATACCAGAACACGACTTTTGTACGTATAATTTGTCTTTTCTTTTTCTAAAGAATAATAAAATTGGGCTCTTGAGATAAAAATTAAACAATAAATGAAAACACGGGCAATTAAGAGCCTAAATTCGCAATAATTGGAGCGATTAT